TCATAATTCACATAGTTCCGTTTGATAGAAATACGTCCAATTAAAGTAAGCTTAACAGAGACAATCGGACTTCGGAGATGATCGTGCTGGGGTTTCATACCACCCGTTTCGTAGTGTCATCGCTTGAAACACGCGAAACTCGTATTTACGCGAGAAAGCCTCCATGATCTCACACCGACATGAAAAATAATACAACAGTTCGCCTATGGGAAGTGGAACACAAAGTAAACCAAACCTCCGGCTGATTCTGAGACGTCCCGGTTTTTCCATTGTTTTTGGTCCTGAATTCAAGGTAACCTTAAGCCAAAACTTTCGGTTGATTTGTGCTCCATTTTCTTTGTCAACCAAGGGTAACACAGAAATTTTTCCCAGTGTGGATGGCCTTAAATATTACTCCACTTTCCCCATGTTTAAATCGCAGGGAAATGCATGATCCTAAATTCCTAGTCTGACCGAATCGGCCTTTTTTTTACCCCGTGCGTGATAAAATTGGATGGAATTAAGGTTAGGGTCATGTCAACGGGAGGCATTTTGAATGAAAAAAATTATTGTGCAATTCCTGAAACCTACTGACATACTGACGTATTTAAACGAACGAAGTCTATCTGCAATTCTGTATCAACGGTTTTCGGATGGATATTAATATGCGGAATAGTCTATGACTGCCAATGTCCATTTAATGTAGGGATGGACAGAAAATTAAAGGTTATCAACAACGGAATAAGAATAAATAACCTTCCATCTGGGCTAACCTAGAACCCTGATCTAAGTCTCAAGATCGCTCTTACTACTACTAACAAGTCGCTCTTATAGCGCTTCTGTGCGCTCTGCGACACCCAACCTCCCCCAAAATTTTGAAAATTCTCCTCACTTGAGGTTATGAGGAACATTCCTGAAAAGGAATGCTTGTAACTTATGTATGTGCTTACATAAAGGGTGAATATCCGGGCAACTGCATGCAAAGAAGTGTGCCCTCAAGCTGTGGCATTCATTTTTGATACATTTTGACAAACAATGGTCAAGCTGGCAGTCAACTGCAAGTCAAGAAATAAAATAAGTACTGTCGCTTCTGCCTCTTTTTACTTTCTCAAAGTCCACTTTCAAGAGTTTCTTCTAAGATAACATTATCTTCCAGCAGTACACCTTTTCGATGTCTTTCTAAAATTTGGACCGGTTGTGCTGCAAAGTCCTTCTTTGATTCCTTGCGACGAGTCTCATTGTCAAACAAGGCAATTTTGTACAACAAATTGTTGAGATCATCAAGTCTTTTGTTTGATTTTCGCTTTAGGTAAGAAATAAGATTTTAATCTGTTGTGAAATGACTCCAGGTGCCCCGTTGTATCAACGTTAGCATGCGGGAAATTTCTGTAACACATACACCATTTCTGTTCTCTATACTCCAATAGTAACCATTTAAGTAGGACATATACTCGGCTGCTTTCGAATTTGACTCATATTTGTTTATAAAACCACTCTTGAGCTTTAAGAACAGAACATGATCATCATCTGTTATCATCATTAATATAAACTTCGAAGGATTCCACCTTTTAGTCGATTCCACCTTTTTCTATTTCACTCGAAGGGTTCCCAGGCTGTGCGATAAATGTGAACATTTTACATGGGTTTGAACTGGAAAAAGTGCTGAAAAAGCAACTTATCTGGCATGCAGTAGAGTCTGGGAGGGACGCGAGGCTGATTTCCTGGGAAGACCTATGATTTAGTCGGAAATGTCATTAATAAAGCATCTAGCGAGAAACATCACTGGCAGGAGAGTATCCGCTGAAAGACAATCAGGACTGAAGCGTTACAGTCTCGAATTTGCGACTCCCTAGAATCCATCACAGCAAAGGCGCAAAAAAAATGTATTTATATGTATAAAAGTTTGTAAGTTGAGCCGTTTATCACGCCCACGTAGGTACGTAGGTCAAATAGATGTTCAACGAAATCACAAACGCCCTCTCGAGTTGCGTAATTGTATTCACGCACTTTTCGGCGTAGGCGAATCCTTTAATCCCGGTAAACGGAAAAAAGTTTCCCCCCTCCGCAACTCTTCCCATTTCGAGCCCGGATTAACTCGAGTCTTGACGTTAAGTGGGCCGCATTTAAGGGAGGAATTATAACGTTTAATCGAAATTTGATGGGAACAGTCTCTCCGCATCAGATAAGTTCGAGGCGTGAGCAAGATGAGACCCTTCATCGAAGTGATCTGGCTGCTAGAAAGATTTCATTCAATTTCAAACGCAACTTTGTTGATATGGATCGGAAAATTCGCTCTTGGTGACGCCCCTAAGAAGTGTACGAACCACCAAAATTCAAAGCTGAACATGCAAAATTAAAAATATCTCAAATTAACTTCTAAATTTATTATTACTGTTTATAGTTTACCATATTATACACTGAAAAAAAAAACTCCGGCCGCAGAGGTCGTACTTACGGGCTATATAGACGTACCGTCCCTGTTCCGGGCACAGCAACCGGAGCAATCGAAGCTACGACTCCGGAACCCGGAACTTTCGGCCTCTGAGCCCGGAACGGACGGTATGTCTATACAGCCCGTAGCTTTTTTCAGTGTACTTGGATTCTTTTCCGAAAAAGAACTAAAATCGACGAAGGTCAAACCTGCCATTGAAAACAAACCCATGAATGGTCATAGTACGTATCTAAGTCGTGGAGTTTCAAAATTCCTTTCATTTGTCTCTTTTGATCTTTTTTTCTGCGGGAACGAACACACCTGAGATGGATGATTTATAAAGATAACTTAAAAGTTGTAAAACATCTAAATCAAAACATTATCTAATTTAATTTAAAGCACTTCACTTTCACTATGAAGATAAGTTAACATTTTCTTAAGTTCAATATTTAAAATGCTCATAGTATATTCCGCGAACCGACTTCATTAGAAAAATCACGGAATTTCCAAGAAAAATTACGATGATCTGTTTGCTAACTTCAACATAAAAGACGGGGTGAGAAGTCTGCTAAGTGTAGCAAACCGAGTAACGTTGTCTTAAGCTGAGCCATTTCTATGCGTTCGGCATTTACCTAGAAGTTCGTTTCACCAAATCTCTCTCCCTTGACACCTGGAACTCAACTCGAGAACTTACTCAGAATAGTTATTTTACCGAGAAAAATACTTCGTCGCTAAACGCCCCGATTTTAGCACTTGATTTGACTCACGTTGACTATCGTCTTCTTTTTTGTCTGTTAGCAGGAAGTTTGAATCGACGCTAAATTTATTACGATCTGAGAAAAAGGTTTGGAGCAGTTATGAAAATGTAGCTTCGAAATCTCTGGATAAGATTAATTAAATTGCAAATAAAAAGTTCTGAAAACCTCAAACCAAAAAATTCACAAGTTCCCAATATTTATGTAGCATCTCAATAAATATGGCAACCGTCAAATGTTTATACGAAGTTCCTCATCAACAAAGTGAAATGAGGATCGTGTCTTCCATCTCATGCTGTCTGCTCATCCTTATGCGTTCAAGTTTGTATCTTCATAATGCAGCAGGGAAATTTGGCCTAATTTCATTCATAATTTTGTTTGCATTTCGACTAATTTCATTCTTCCTTGTTCCGAGCATCGTGATGCTCTCCCAGCAGCATTGAGTGGAAAAAAGATTTTAAAACTCCTTGAGGTGCAAAGAGGCTAAATTTAAAAAAAAAAAAAAAAAAAAAAAAAAAAAAAAAAAAAAAAAGAATCACCATGCGAAATAAAACACCTCTTTTCAGTTCTAGGCCCTCTCTTAATAATAATGTCTTAACGACTTAATTTTCTGTTATTGCATATATTTGAGTTTTGCATCAAATATTTTGAAATTTTGATGTTCATTTTTTCCCACAACGTCTTCTCTTATTCAGTATAAATTTCACAAATGTAATACCTGGTGCACCCATAAATGTGTTTATGAGTCTAACATTTACACAGAATAGTTAAGTTTATAGCTTTTAGGCTTTTTGTATATTATGCATCTCGAAATTTTGCCATCACTGAAAGCATGGTTCTCGTGTAGAAAACAAGTTTTCCTTTTAATTTCTTTGCGTTGAAGATGATTTTTTGTTATAATCGAGGTCGCGTGCATTTAAACTGCAAAATCTGTTCCTATTTAAGTACCTATTTATTTAACATAAATTTATTTTTTTGCCTCAAATTAATTTGTTGGAGTTCTTTAATGCAACTATAGAACAAAACTTTTACTTTAAAAAGAAACATACATTGTTGGGTAAAATGAAAAATAAGTTGATGTAAAGAAACAGTCTTTTACCAGGACTAATTTTGAAACTAAAGGCTTGTTCGAAAAATCGAAAGCAACGTGTTTCCCTCTTGAGTTTAATACACTTTTTTTAATAGTTTTTCCATTTTTATTAGAGCTCATGTTGATGTTTTCTTAAAAAATGTTGAATTTTCTTTGAAAACATACATTTTTTTAGCGGTTTCCTCCGAAATAAAATTATTGACGCTGCGAAACAACAAACGAAGGAAATGTGAAATGGAGCTTTCTTTTAAGTGGGGGTGAAACGCACCGAAACAACTTGTTAATCGAAGTTAAGTCGGGGCCAGGCCAGGGACCGAACGTGCCGAAAAACGATTTATAAACATATTAATACACATTGACCCACATTCGTTATTCGCACCTGCACCTCCGGCACCCTCCCCTCCTCTCTCGTTCGTCCCTCCTGTCCTTCTCTCGCTCGTCGATAAGCATGTTTAGACAATTTGTTCTCCAGTGACATTTCCTTCTCGACGCACAGTGGATCGAGACAATTAGGGAGGTCGGACATGAAATTTTTAACTAAAACTGTAATTGTTGATGTTTAAGTTGTCAAATTTTTGAATTTTAAGGAGTGCTCCTTAAAGAAAACTTCACGAGAAAACCAATGGTGCCACTTTTAAAACCTCAAAGTTTTATATACTCGGAGTTATGAGGTTTTAAAGTTTCCAAATTTTTTCCGATCTCTCACATTGACTCGATACACTGTGCGACGTAGACCCCGCAACCCGCAGCTTGATCATTTACTTTTGATATCTATTGACCTTGATGGATACGCGCCGCGCTTCTATCGGATTCATTTCGTAGCGACCATAGACTTAGCCCGGTAGATACGCCTCTAGATACGGCACTAGATATTTATCCCCCCAATCGGAGGTGGTGGATAACTCTGTATCTATCGATATTTGAGGTTAGGTGATTGTTTATCATTGCAAGAACATCAACAAAGCGAGTAGCTCGTTTGTTTCGTCGCAGTAAATAGTGTTAAAAGTGCACCTATGAGTGTTTTTTTCAATTTAAGTTTTAGTTTGTTGTGGCCTTTATGACAATGGCTGCTGCTCCAGGTTTTCTGCAGCATGTGGCCAATTTGGAGGCAGAAGCGGCAGAGGAACAAGCTGTTCACAATTTCCGCGTTCAACGGAAGAGGTTGAGGGATCAATGTGATCCATTTGATGCCCCACAAAAATTGTTCAAAACAAACTTTAGACTGAGCAAAAACCTGGTGCATAGCCTCACCCAAAGGCTAGCTCCCCATTTGATTGGACTTCGAGCTTTCAGCCTCACTCCAGTACAACAAGTAAGTTGACAGTCACTATTTGTAGCATTAAGCTAGAATCGAGGAGTGCGGAACCATGAAGGAAATGTAACGATTAATCACCTACACCTTATCTCTGTTGAGATCATTTAAGCTAAGCAATGATGGGACACCTGGAACATGGAACACCTACTTTGTAATGATTATTATAAACTCCAACGAAGAGATCTACTTTTATGATATGATAGTAGTGTACAAAACTTTTAAGGAGAGTAAGACTCAGCGTTTCTGCCTCTCACAACTTACAAATAATTTACTCCGCCTACTTTTTTCTCACCCCTAAAAACTTTTATTTTGCCTCAGGTTTTAACTGCACTGAAATTTTTGGCGTGTGGTAGTTACCAGCGAGGTGCAATTGCTCAACATAATCTGCTCAACGTTTGCCAATCATCCGTCAGCAACTGTCTCAGAGAATTTCTCCGTGCAATGGATGCCGAAATTGTAAGGAATGTGATTAAATTTCCAGAAACAGAGGCAGAGAAACAACAAGTTAAGAATGGGTTAGTATGTGATTGTTTTCTTTCATACAAAAAATATTTTGAACGAACTTTCCTCTATTTTACAAATATTTCCCAATGCTGATTCTCTCAAAGCACTCTTTTGCCAATGACAAATTACTTTGTTGTAGTAATGAATATTCAATTGGTTCCTGAGAAAGACCACTCCCCTTCCACGAGGTATTTCATGAAAATGTGAACAATTAGGCATATATTGCATTTGGTAATTTCCAGTGGTCCCAACGCTCCCAATTTTTTGGCTCTCCCTTTCACATTGCTTTATTTTCCCTTTCATTTCAGGTTTTACCAAAAATTTGGACTACCTGGCGTTGTAGGTGCTGTGGATTGCACCAGGGTGAAGCTGAAGCGACCTAAGGACAATGAAGAACAGTACTTTTGCCACCATAATTGTCACTGCATAAATGTGCAACTTGTACGTACATAAAATATTATTTTACGGAATCACTCATTGTCACTGAGTTCCTGAAAAGAGCATAGTGCATGTACACAGATTAGCACAAGAAGAGAGAGAGGATGAATTCCCCAAATTAATTCTTTTTGGATGCGAGCTAAGTGCAAATGTAAATTGGTACTTGCATAGTGTTATGGAAACTATGAAAGCAGCGCAAAGCATGTTGAGGGAACGTTGCTTCAAAGTATGGTCATCCTCTCCCAGTAAGGGTATCTCAAAAGAGACTGAGTGTAAACACTTGCAATAAACAAGTTGAGGCTACTTTTTTAACTGAATTTATTTGTTGCAGATTTGCGATAGCGACTTGCGTATAACAAATGTAAATCCGCGTCATGCTGGAGCAACGAACGATGCCTACATTTGGAGGTTTTCTGTGATAAACAATCATATGAGGAATGCATATAACAATGGAGAGACCAACACCTGGCTCATAGGTCTGTTAAACAGTAATTTTTATTCTGTTTGATATCTTGCTTACCTCTTTATAAATGAAACCATTAACGGCAAGGAGCCATGCTAAGAAATTTTTTCCAAGAACAAGAGGAACTACTTTTCAAATTACAGAAAATGTGTACCCAGCAATAAAATTAGTGATAGCAAGGAAAAGTATCTTTAATATAGGGATGTCATCTAAACTTTTGCCTATTTTATTTATTTCAGGTGATAGTGGTTATCCCATTTTGCCATGGGTATTAATTCCAATAGTCGGAATGGCGCACACAGACACTCCCGAAGGGCGTTACACTGACTGCCACATATTGGCCCGAAATACAATTGAGAGAACTAATGGTGTACTGAAGCAGAAATGGCGATGCCTACTAAAGGAACGAGTATTGCATTACAGTCCAGGAAAGGCAAGGCAAATCATTCGCTGCTGCGCTGCCTTGCACAACATTGCAATGAATATGCAAGACTACTTTGATGATGCTCAAAATTTCAACCTTGATGACCATGTTGCAGTCCCAGAGCCACTTGCAGATGTGGATGCTGATGCGGAATTCGACGCAGGGGTTGAAGTGCGCCAGAATCTAATTCAAATCCGCTTTACCTAGGGATCTGTATCCCGCAGCTGATTCCTGGCCCATTTTATTCTGTCAGAAGTGTTTCTTGACCCTGTAATGCCATCCTTTTCCCCTTCAAAAGACGTGACAGTCGATGAAAATCGGGCTTTTAACACTTTGCAGGTTCAATTTGTTACTTTGCATTTGCTTCATGAGTGCCTGAGAATACACTTCACGTTGAACACACTATATACAGAACTGTATGAACATGCAATGTTATAGCTTATTGTACGGAAACCCTCTTGTTCCTATATTAGCCCACGACATGTAATAGTCGAGGGAAAAGTATTCCAACCGGCCATTATGAAATGAGGATGTGAAAAAAGAGGAAGAAACATGCGCATGTTCCTTTGCCCACATCCTGTACATTGCGTGAATGGTAATCAAATTATTTTTTTTTCTTTCTTTCTTTCAACTTTGCCTCTTGAAGAATTAAGTGTTATTCGTGAAAAGTATGAGTTCATTGTCGCTGTAAACCAAAGTACAAAGATGTATAGAATTACTGTTGAATGTTTCATTGAGAAAGGAAGTAAAGAATAAATTTGATGTGACTACTGGAAAAAGTGTTATTTATTCGATAAGTTTTATAAATATTTTTGCATCCTGAATACAATCAAACGTATGGAAATTTTTGAACCCAGAGTTAAGAGGTGACTATAAGTAACAAGAGGAGTATTTAAATGTAAGTTGATGTCATTTAAAAATTGCAAGAAAATCTTTTATTCTTACTTAGTAACAAGTATATTATTCCATATAAAAAATGAATTAAGACTGAGGCCAATATTCAAGACGCCACAGAACTCAGCATATGATCATTGGAAATGGCCCAAAAGAAATAAATTACTTCAAATTAAATTAGGATAATCGATTGATGATGACTGGGTGTAGTCAAAAAGCTTCGGCTCAGTGAATTGTAGCTTTCACATAATAAACTATCACAGCATATGGCTATTCTAATTCTCTTCTTTCTTAAAATTACAATAAGCTCAAAGTAGAACTTACGTTGACTTAATGAATGTCAGTCTTCCAACTCTCTAAAAGTTAATTCTAATTTCAGCCCACAAGAGCCGCAGTCTTCAGAAATGAAACAGTTGCTGGAAGGCACAAAATACTTTTCTGGTAATCACAGCAAATAAAACTAATCTAAATGACTTTACTATAACCAAAATAATGACTGAGAAAACTTAAGTAATAAAATTATTGAGTAGCAGTCTTCCGAGTTTCTAAATACTAATTCAACTTTCATTCTCCATGGGCTACTGTTTCCAGGAATTTAAGAGGTGCTGAAATGCAACAAATACTTTTCTGGTAATCGCAGCAAATAAAACTAATCTAAATGACTTTACTGTAACAAAAATAATAACTGAGAAAACTTAAGTAATAAAATTATTGAGTAGCAGTCTTCCGAGGTTCTAAATACTCATTCAATTTTCATTCTGCATGGGCTACTGTTTCCAGGAATGAAGGAGGTTCTGAAATGCACCGAATACTCTTGGTAATTGCAGGAGCTAATTAGAAGCTAATCTCTATGACTTCATTATAACGAATATACAGACTGAGAAAACTTAACTAATAAAATTATTGAGCAGTAGTCTTTCAAGTTTCTTAAAACTAATTCAAATTTCAGAACACATTGGCCACCTTCTTCAGAAATGAAGGAGGTGCTGAAATGCACCAAAAAATTTTCTGGTAATTGCAGCAAATGAAGCTAATCTGTATGACTTAATTATAACGAAAATACAGACTGAGAAAACTTAACTAATGAAATTATTGAGCAGTAGTCTTTCAAGTTTCTTAAAACTAATTCAAATTTCAGAACACATTGGCCACCTTCTTCAGAAATGAAGGAGGTCCTGAAATGCACCAAAAAATTTTCTGGTAATTGCAGCAAATGAAACTAATCTCTATGACTTAATTATAACGAAAATACAGACAGAGAAAACTTAACTGATAAAATTATTGAGCGGTAGTCTTCCAAGTTTCTTAAAACTAATTCAAATTTCAGCACATTGGCCACCTTCTGCAGAAATGAAGGAGGTGCTGAAATGCACCAAATAATTTTCTGGTAATTGCAGCAAATGAAACTAATCTCTATGACTTTACTATCACAAGAATAAGAAGAGAAAAAAAAACTTCATTAATGACATTTTTGAATAGCAGGCTTACAATTTCCTGAAAATTACTTTTCATTCCATGTCAGCCGCAATTTTTAGGAGTGAAGCAAGTGCTGAAATGCACCAAGCACCTTAATTGCAGCACGTATAGCTAGTATCAATGACTTAATAAATAACAGAATAAGGGTAGAAGAAACATAACAAATAAAAATATTATTTAAATGAACATTATTTACAAAGCTAGTGTAAAACAGGGCACTTTTTTGTACCTTGGTGCTAAAGTTTGCGCGAAATTTTATTTTTCTCCCAAAAAAAGTTGCGGTTTTTCCTCCGTTCTTTGTACAGGGTTGACATCACGCATTTCCTGAGCGCTAAAATGACATGCTGAAATGAGTTATTTCCGTACTCCACACTAAGGAACGCAGGGAAATTTAAACACTTGTACTTAAGATTTGGAACTGGAGAGTAAATGGATCCCTTGAATGTACATTTCATCACTTGAATGAGTATTGCTCTACCAATTTCTTACAGTTTACTTTGTAACATATTCCGCGCATAGCACTATCACAAAAAATTAAGAATGAGATGAAATCAACCACACGTTCTTCCAGCAATTGCAGCACAATTAATCTAATCTAGATGACTTAACAGATAACAAATATAAAGGTGCAAAAACCTAACGTTGAGGGGTACTAAATTAATGATAGTTAGAAACCTCGGATGATGTACTCAAGTACCCATGAGAAATGAAATCATAGCATAACTATTGAGTCGTTATGCAGTACCCACAATAATGTAATTCAAATTGAAAAGTAGAATCTAGAAAATATGTCCATTGCTCATATTATTATTCTCTTCATTGTAACTGGTTGGCCTGGTTCGTGCTTGCAATTTCAGTGATTGAGCCAACTGAATAATTGCACCAGGCAATCCTTCACCCAAGGTGTGAATTGTTTCGTTCAATATCGTCACAGCTTCTGTATGCGCTCGCAGTACCTCTGTTTGTTGATTGATAGCTGCAGTGTGCTCCTGTGAAATCAATGAAGGGCCAATTAAAGAAAAATTCATTAATTTCTACGCCGTTCTTATTCTACCTCATGCAATGCCAGCTTCAGTCATCATACATTTTTACAGTATAATATGCAAAATAATAATGAAAATTAAGCTTCATGAAAGGCTCCTCTTTCAACTTTACTGCAGGTAAAGTTTCAATGGCATTCCTGCAGCACTAAGAAGAATGATTTATGGATACAGCAAGATTACTAAAGTATAAAAAAAAAAATCTCATAATAACCAACTGAAAAAGCTGATTGTATCTACCGTCTGCATTTTAAAATTTTCCTTGAAAAATCTCTGCTACTACAAAAACTTGCACGGTCAGCCTGCAGAGCGACTTCCCCTCCATAGTTTCTTAATGTAAATTATTCCTACGATGCCAAATCTGTCAGTAGGAGGTTTACATTTGAAAGGGTTGAACATTGATGAGGAATGCATACCCGATATGCTGCAGCAAGTCCATTTGTCGCATTTATATATTGCATTGTCGTGTCCTCATATGTTTCACGAATAGTTGGCGTTTCTGTGGACAAAAAAAAAAATAATTCATTGTTGAGGCTGGCAAAATTAAAAAATAACAACTAGAGACTTATGTAAATATTGATTTACTAGACAGGGGATAAAGAATCAAGATAAAAGTTTTACTTTTAAGGTAATAGCTTCATCAAAAAAGGATTAAAAACCGTGTTTCCTTCTTACATCCATTATGATCCAATTGAAACATAACAATGGTGTAAGTCGGCAATCACATAACTCGGTTTGCGACGTCGCAGATTTCTTGTCATACTTTATTTTTTAAATGGAAAATTACTTGACCGCAAATCTTCAAAATTGCCGTGATTTTTCTTCCCTCTAGTAAATTCTGCAAAAACTTCAGTGAATGACGTCAATGTGTTCTCCTTTTGAAAAAATAACATAGACGCAGAGATTTTCAGACACTGCAAACGAGTTATGTGATTGCCGACTTACACCGTCGATGAATGGAATTCAAAACCTTCTGCATAATTAGCATTGGGAAAGCAGCAAAATCACTGAATAAAACTAATCCACTCCTTTTGCTCTTGCCTCCTGCTTCCTCATTGAACATTCGTACTCCCATTGGCACATTGAAGTTGCAGACATGCATCCCAATAAACATAAAAGCAGGAGATTATTCTTACTTTTTCTTTTCTTATCAGCATCTTGAATCTCATTAGACTTGGAGGAACCTGGTTTGGCCACAAACTTGTCGTTCTTTTCATTCTTCCGTGCAAATTCCGTAGGCTTCGAGTTTGTTGTTTCCGGAGAAATTTGAGACTCTTTTTGAGTCCTTGCAGAATCAATGGTTGAAAGTGACAGGGTCGGTGCTACTTGATGCGACTCATTTTCAGTGCTACGAACTGCCGGCAAACTTCCCAGCTGACAAACTGGTACATACACATCTGAAATTATAGAAGCAAAGAGCAACTGATTTGAAAATTTTCTACATTAGCAATAAGACTCTGACTTTGAGAGTGGGTTTCAGAGAAATTGCTCAAAGAAGC